CGCTTCACCTTCCCTCTCGTAAAATTGTCGCTGAAGACTCACCCGACAAAGTGGCAACACTCATTGCAGGCTGGGAACATGCCATGTCGTGTGAATCAAACCCTTCATTTTGCATTTGGGTCATCATGATGTAGCTTATATAGGTCGGTGATAAATCAGGAGGCGGCTGACTATGGTCAAGGTATTGCATGACCTTTCGCATGATAGGTCGTGCATTGGGCGATGGGTACGTGCACAACAAACCCAATTTGAGCACGATGGTTACCTCATCCGCGTTGAATTCACCTCCGAGTCGAGGATCTACTGTGTCGAGGATGGAACCATTGTGGTGGTGCTGAAGCACCCACTCGACCAACAATACCCGGTTGTTTTGCTCATCGATGAAGATTGGCCTTCGTCCACACGTGACCTCTAGGAGAAACACACCAAATGCATATACATCGGAGAATGGTGTTGGTGTCCCGGCACGCGAGAGTTCTGGCGCAAGATATCCCATGGTGCCAGCCACATGGGTGGTTTCAGCGGCGGTTTCGTGGTCGTATATCCTTGCAAGACCAAAATCGCCCAACCTTCCATTCATCTTACCATCCAAGAGCACATTGCTTGCCTTTACATCTCTGTGGATGACGACCTGCTCCCAATCCTCATGTAGATATAACAAGCTTGATGCCACACCTTTGATGATGGTATACCTTTGGGACCAACATAGAGTTGGGCCATTTCTTGTGTGTAGGTACTTGTCAAGACTACCATTTTTCATGTAGTCATATACCAGGAGAAGCTCCCCCTTGCGCCTGCAGTAGCCCAATAATTGTGTGATATTTCGGTGTCGAAGACGACCAATACTCGCCACCTCGGCAATGAACTCCCTTACTCCTTGCCTTGAATCATGTGACATCCTCTTCACGGCGACCTCCATGTCAGTCTTGCGAAGCACACCCTTATAGACACTTCCAAAACCTCCTCTCCCAAGTAGGTTCTTGTCACTGAACCCTTTGGTCGCATGAAACAAGTCCTTGTAAGAAAACCGTTTCGAGCCAAAGGGGGCCTCCCAGTCCTCACGCACCTCAGAGTACTTGAGACGCTGTCGTCTTACACATATGTAGATTAGGATGCTTACCAGCGCCACCAATGCTAAGACAAGAACGATCATCATTGACAATACGATGGACTGCAGTGTCGTGTAGGTCGGGGTCGATGGCAAGGCCGGCAACATTGAGATGTTAAGTGCAGGGGCTGGCGCATCAAACGCGAAGCTCCAGCCGAGGACGAAGTGTCGTGTGTAAAAGAAGCTCGTTGCCGAAGAGAACCCGACGTATGCCGTGTTCTGTACCACACCCGAGAGGTCGACGGTGGTCCGCAGGAGGGGCCTCTTGGGCCTGGCCACGCCCAACGGAGCCATGGTCACGGTGATCTCGGTGGCCCTGCCGTCGTAGTCCACCCACACCTGCATGGGGTTCCCGCTTATTAGGCTTAGGTTCTGGAACATCCCGATGCCGTCATCATAGTACCCGGCGTTGGCGGAGTCGATCGACACCAGGCTATCAACGTCGACGCCGACATGGTTGTCGTTGATGTCGCGGAGCTCGTAATCTTTGAAGGTGTCTAGCTCCACCGCGAAGATGCGGGCGCTCCGGTTGCCAATATTGCCTTCGTTGAGGAGGCCCAGGAACTGGCCTGGCGACGCAGTGGAGAACACTTCCCTGGACGCGGCCAGGAAGAAGGCGATGCCGTCGCTGCTCACGTCGTCGTATTGACTGGAGATGGCGAAGACGAAGGTGGTGGAGAAAGGCCGCACAGTGCCGGTGTCGTTCGACGCGGTGCGGAACGGCAGCGGGAACGGGTGGACGGCGTGGCCTTTCACCTTTCTGGTGTAGTCGGTCAGCATGAGGAGGCCGTTAGGCATAACTGTGCTCGCGCCGTCGAGCGTCAGGTTCGCGCCCGTGAAGCCGTTGTAGACGAACTGCTGACCGTCATCGCCGCTGAGGCCGGTGGCCGCGAGGCAACGACCGGCAGGGACGAGGAGCAGGAGCAGTAGCTGGGCGACCAAGAGAAGAAGCATGGTTCTCGTATCGCCAGCGGCGCAGAGGGACCGCTCGCCGGTCTCTTTGTCCTTGGCCATGGTGCTTGGGATTTGTGAATGGTAGGTAGCCCGGTGAAGCGAGCTTTTCCCCCCTTATCAGAGCTTCCGAGATGGGGCGAGGAAAATTCTGGGAGGCATGTAGTGAGTTGGACGTCGACGTCTACCAACTGAAATTGAAATGCATGGAACGGTGCTATCTTCCCTGCTGCGAAAAATGGCTGCAGTGTCTGCACACCACATGTGGCTCAGTGCAATCGTTTTCTAGGAGACGTGAGTCGACCGGCCATGCCGAGCAGTCACTTGTCTCAACTCAAGTCGTCGCTCTTGAGTCTTCACTTAGCAATGCAGGCATCTTGAAAAGTAATATGGGGGGTTAGGACATTTCCAATGCTGATCCTTGAACCGGCCGCAACTGTTGGATCATGCGGTCTAGACGTATTGTATCATCCAACGCTATTTTGCATCGGTCCGTAACATGGTCCAAATGCACTTTCTCCCATAAACCAGAGACAAACATGGATGAGCTTTACAGACGTCCGGACAAAAGCCACACCCGCTTCTCATCACCGTGACCCATCCACCACCTCCCTCGTCCGCGCATGTTTCCACCCAGCGCTAGTAACCCGCATTCATGTCACTGTAGAGCGTCTGCTCCCCATTGAAGCCGGTAACAGAGCAGATGTGTCCCCGATGTCCAAGCATGTTCAATGGCGGAGACGCGTTATGGACGGAAAGGGATGGATATCTACCACGCCCGTTCAATGCCCCACCCGTCCGTATGCCGGCATAAGCAAGCTCTCCGGCCGAGAAACCAACTCCCGCGCCGCGCATTTGACGCACCCGGACGCCCGGCCTCATCGGAATTCTCTTCTAAAGGCGGCCACACCCGGTTTAATCCACACCATAATAGAAGCCGCTCCACAGCCTCCTCCCTTGCACCACATCCACCATGACTACAGGCGGCAATGCTATGTGGGATAGTCCTTCGACGGAGATGAAGCACAAGATGGTCACCCTTGTCACCGCTTGGCAGAGTCAACGTGCCAGGCGGATCGAGGCCGACATGCCGGACAACTTGCCCGAGGTCTTCGACGACGATGACCCCAAGATAGATACGGGCTCCGACGACACCGCACCGGAGCCCACGCCTATGCATGCAGCTTTCATCATAGAGCAGGCGCATGCACATTACAACGCCGCCATGACAGAGGAGCAGCCTACGTCGACGCCTATGTCGGAGTTCCAGCAGGCGAAGCTGAAACAACGGTTCATCCTGTTCCTCCTAGAGCAGCATCGACTAGTGGACGACCAGATTGACGGCGAGTGCGCGAATGAGGAGGCCGTGGCGATCATTGCCGCGGGAAACACCAACTTTGTCGTGGAGCAGCGTGCGATCTACGACGTTGTTCACGCACAAGCCGCCGCTCGCCAAGAAGCGGCCGCCGCGGGCCGCGGTGGCGCGGGTGCAGGTGATCACGAACACGAACAACGCCAGTTGCGCCTCTTACGCGCCCCCGACGAACTATCGGACGACCCGGTTGGACGACACCAGCGCCAGCGCCACCATTTTGATCATGGACCTCACGTCCGCTGGTGACGGACAGGTTGCAGACTCCTCCGAGGATGAGTTGGGCACGGGAGGCGGCGGGGCCTTGTGTCTCATGCGGGCCGGTCCGTCTCCCGTGTTCTACTCTTCCTTGCTGGAGACTACACCTTCACTTCAAGGGTCTTACCGTCACCGTTCACGGAGACGGCAGATGGAGGAGGTGGTCGCCGACGCGGAATAGAAAGGAAGTGGACGACGGCCGGCCGCCACCGTAGGATAGGTTTAGGGTCGGGTTTTTTCTTCTAAATGTTTGAAATGTAGTTAAAATTTGGCATGAGTGCATGAATCTCGTCCGGTTCATATGAAAATCCATCGTGTTTGCATGACCTTTGTCCGGTTTGTCGAAAAGTTGTTTGAAATGTATGCAGACAACGTTGGATGATCGCCTCCTGCACCCTTGTCTACAGACTAGTTCCCCTGTCCGTGGACGGATGAGGAAGGAAATTTATGGGTTGCTGTCGGAGATGCCCTTAGATACTATTTACAGATTTTGACACCGCCTTGAAAAGTAATATGTGTTTTTCGTGTGGGGCCTGTCCGTCAGTCCGATATGACGGACGCGCCCGGGGCTTACTATATCCACCCCATATTTCGGCTGCATATGAAAGGTGAATCTGGACATTCAAGATCCGTTTGAGGCGTGTGTCTGGATTTGTTTTTTCTGACTGGTCACTAACCGGATCGTCTATCTGAGCGTTTGAGGCAGGTTTAGAGTGCTGGGCTGCATATCTCTACCTACTATTAAAGGGAGGTGATTCTTGGTTTGGTCCGTCAACATATTTTTAAGATTTTTTTTCGTATGTCACATATATTTTCTACTATCCGAGGTGGTACTAAATTTTTATGCATACGTAAATAAATAAATTATTTACCCAGAATTTCGTATGTGGGCTGTGCAACATTGTGGCCCAGTGGCTGCCAAGTTGGGCCTTCGACCTAATAATAATGCAACAAAAAAAATATACATTAACCTGGGATTCGAACCCCACACCTCACAATATCACTCTGACTACCATGACCAACTAAACAACCAAACCACCTTGATCAGAGATGGTTGTATTAAGTTTATTTCGGACAAGCACAAAGGCCACACAATTGGGCCTCTGCCTGGCGCTCCAGCTGATGGGCCAAAGTCCGTCAACGCAAGTAAACAAGATCAACGGGCACAAAAATATATTTTCGACCCCACGGTCTTAATGACCATAGATATCACGTGTTTAATAGTCCCACCTTGCTACACAAAATTGATTCTCGTCAATTTATATACGTTCAACATCGTTTTCTGTCGTGAGCTAATTGAACGGACTCCTCACATGCAAGGTGGGAGAGGCTTTGCACACTGCATGATCGAGCAATAAAATGTCGGTGTTTACGAGACTTGTGGGCTGATATTTTAAACTTTCCACGGTATAATTAAAGGAGGTACTACCTCCGTCTTGATGAATAAGTCATTTACCTAGTTCTAGGTCGACGATTTAATTATATAAATATGTATTATATGTGAAAAAAATATATTTAGAAAACTACACCCGTGTAGAAATCTAGTGATATATTTTTTATGAATATAACACATATTTAATTCCTCAAATCGATGACCTAGAACTACGCGAATGACTTATTCACCTAGACGGAGGTAGTATTATATTACGAGATTTGTGGGATTATATTTGAACGTTGCATGGCGGATAATTAAATGAAGGAGATTTGTGGGATGATATCTGAACTTTGCATGGTGCATAATTAAAGGAACCCGAAATTGTGGGCTGATATGAAAGAATTAAAATACAAATCCAGAGGATTAAGTGCAGCTGCCATTGCATCGCTATAATAAGGAAGCTGCACCGTACCATCTATGGATAGGCGCACAAGTGTAGCATCTAAAGAATCAAAGGAGGACGTTGCACAACGATTGGGAATTGCATTAAACAAAAAGAAGGAATTTATAGGAAGGAGTCCCCATAATCAAAGGAGAGGACGCACAATGATTTAATGCTTGGTAGATAGTTGTAATTGGAACTAATATTCCTAAATTTGTGCCAAATTTATTTTTCGTTGAAATACACGATGTAATTTTTACTACTTTTAATGTTCTTTATATTGTCATGATGTTATGAATAAAACAAAAGTTTTTCATAACAAAATGTTGTCAATAAGATCAATTTACTTCAAATCTTCCCCCTATTCTAAGCTCCCTGTCGTGATCTTCAAATAATGCATCTTTTTTTTTACATAAGCCTGCGTTGTCCTGCGACATAATTCCTGGACCCGGCCAACATGAACCAGATTTTTTTCCCCAAATGTTGCCATAGGTATTAATATTCCTTACTAAATTTGCATCAGTTTTATTTTCCATTGAAGCGCATAATGTTATTTTTATTAACTATTCAATTTCATTACTTTTGATTTTCTTTATATTGCCATGAAGTTATGAATCGATCAAAAGCTTTTCATAAGAAAACATTGTCAATCAGATCATTTACTACGAATGATACAACATGTCCTAAGCTCCGTGTCGTGAACTCGTGATCCTGAAATGATACATATTTTTTCATAAGAAATTGTTGTCCCATTATGAATAGATCCAAATCTTTCTCATGACAATGCCGTGAAACGGAATTTTTTCCCATTGCTATATACGGGCATTTATGCTAGTATGTTCTAAAAGAAGCATGGCTCTCGTATCACGGGTGGCGTAAATTAAAGGACCGCACGCTACGGTGCCTGGGATTTCTGAACAGGAGCACGGTCAACTTTCCCTGTGTCAGTGCCTCCGAGTTGGGGCGAGGAAAATTCTGGGAGCCTTGGTCTCGTGAAGAGTTGGACGTCTGCCGACAGAAATGGAAATGTATGGACGGGATCTAGAATTTGTGCTATCTGCCATGCTGTCGAAAAGTCTAACTTTCAGAAGAGCTCGGTAGTCCCGATTCGGTGCAGGCACCTACACCTCGACACCATCCTCCAGAACTTTCCTGCTGCCCGGGCTTCATTCCCAATAAAATATCTAGGGCTGCCTTTCTCGGTCTGGCAACTAAAAGTTCGGGATTTCTAATTCCTCGTGGACAAGACCGCTTCCAAACTTGTTCCTTGGGATGGGAAAAATATCACAGTTATTGGTCGGGCTGCCCTTGTCAAGTCTGTGCTATCCTCACAAGCCATCTACTTCATCACCCCATTGATCGTTCCACCAAGCATCCTCCACAATGTCAACAAGCTTGAGAGAGCTTTTCTTTGGACGGGAACAGATAAGACTACCGGCGCGAAGTGCAAAGTTAATTGGGAATCTGTATGTCGACAGTCGAATATGGAGGTCTTGGGGTGCTAAACACGGAGAAATTTTCAAGGGCACTTCGCTTGCGTTGGCTTTGGTTTGAAT